TGTATCTTAGAGTTAGGAAGGGATGGTATGAATTGGATTGATCTGGCTCAGGATAGGGACCCGTGGAGTGCTCTTGTGAACACGGTAATGAATCTTCAGGTTCCATAAAATGCTGGGAAATTCTTGAGTAGCTGCAGAATTGGCAGCTCTCATGAAGGGCTCAGCTCCACGAGTAAGTAAGTAAGTAAGTAAGGAAGGAAGGAAGGGTGAATGCGGTTATAGATCGCTTCGGAGTTATGTCAGGCGGCGTTCTTTATCTTTTGAAAGCATCAGTTCTTTTGAGATTCGTTTGAGTCTGATGAAATCCAAGATATAAGCTGATCTGGAAGAATTTCCTTGTAGGTCTGTGTTATGTTAGTGAATCTACCAATGGTCTCTTGACTGTTGCCTCAACCATTTTCGCACCTTCGTTTCAACCTCCTCGCCATCAGCGAAACGTTTGCCACGTTTCTCGACCCAGTTGTGAACCCCTGTACACGGCAGACACTTCCGCCGTAAACATGGAACTTTTCTTTATGAGTATCATTTGCATTGAATCCGTTTCCCCACAGAAAACGCACAACAGAACGTTGCTCTTCGGTAGTGTACTTCTCAAGCACGGTCGCCCTTTTGACTACTTAAATCAGCCTCTGAACACGCGTATGCGCTTGAGCTACCTAGACTTTTATGAAGGTTGCCTTTGCTGCTACCCAGTGATACACACAGAAAACCTATTACGTCCATTACAGCTGTTTTACTTCCATTTGTGACCTATTTGCTGACTCGCACATTGTCATGGATCTGTTAGAACATGGGAATGCATGTAAATGTAAGTGATGAATTGGAATGCCCGAATTAAAGGTTGGGAGGTGGGTGTAATTGGTTCAGAATCGTGTCCAGATTTGGACTTTGTTATTCATCTTTTAAGGCACAGTGGTAAAGTCGATGTACTGTACGAGTCTGATAACTTTCTAGTGATGACGTAACGGTCAACGTCACTAAGTGACGACGAAGCACTGTCATTGCTATAGTAGACAGAGTATATGTCGTCGGATGCTTGAACTTAGGCTGTACTTTTGGGTTGAGATTTTCCTCGAGTTTCCTTAGTTCCGTGAAAATGCCGAAATATTACCTGTATAAGCCATGACTGTTTTCTTTCGAAACCTTTCTAATTTGTTATTTACCAGTCATCCTGCCAGTCAAGGCTATATAGATATAGATAGTGAGTGTTTTGTAAAAGTAAACCACAAAGAAAGCCTAAGATAAGACCCATTTGTTTTCTCCTGTGTCTTGATGTTTCTTGCCAGTCTTCTCAGAGTTTCAGACAAAGTAGGAAATGTATGCATATCAAAAAAGTAAAGCTATCCCCGTAACAGGCCGTGGAGGCCCATAGGGTTGCGAGACGTCGAGGCTCCCACATTTTCTAGACAGTCGGCTCACAGATGGCGGTGGAGTCGTCAACCTTACACGCCGGCCGCCCCTTACCTCCCAGGAAGAATCCTGGTACTCATTTCTGTTAGAGGCTGAGTCGACCCCAGGGCCATAGTGCGGCTGGAAGGATTAGTTCAATTGAAGAACCTAATGACCTCATCGGGACTCGATCCCGTCACCTTCCGGCTTGTAGCATAGTGTCTCAACCAACTACGCTACTGCGTGCCCCCAACTATATGCATAGCATGGCAGATATGTCGCTTTTGGTCCTCTTCGTTCAGTTATTTCGAAGAACCATGGACTTCCGGAAGAAGGTGTATTGGGCATAAGCATACGTTTCGTTTTGCTGTACAACTGTCTACAAGGCCTACAACGACGTCTTTGAAGATCTTAATGTAAAGTAAGATTTGAGGTTCAGACTTCAGTGGTTACGGAGAGTTCTGTCATCTTAGATATAATGTCGTGTAAGCAGATAGAAAGTCAACCCATGTCCTGGAGCAACGTGTCATCTTCATCTTTAAGGTGGAAGAATAAACCAAGCTCTGATTGCTGTCTGCTTCATGCTGGTTTCTTGATTGGCCTATTCTTCGATATTGAAGGTGGAGGCGACATGTTTCTCCGAAACATTGGTTGACTTTAAACAAATAATAGGAATTCTAAGTTAAGCGAGGCCGATAACAGTGGTCGCACTGTATAAGGCATGAACTGTTTTCGCCACGCTCGAACATTGGGATCGTGGGTTCGAATTCCACTGGAGGCATGGATGTCTGTGTGCGTTTATTCTGTCTGTGCTGTTCTGTGTGGAGGAAGGGGCCTTGCGACGGGCTGATCGCTCATCCAAGGGTCCTACCGTCTGTGTAAAAAAGATTGCGGGACTGAAGAAGAGACCAGGGCCCAACAGAGGGTTGTAGTGCCGTTGATGAATGGATGAATCAGTCAATCAATCAATGAAGCTAAGCGAGAATGCCGTCTGTTTCGTGCTGGTTTCTTGATTGGCCTATTCTTCGATCCTGAAGATGGAAGCGACATGTTCCTCCTAAACGTTGGTTGACTTTGAACGGACTGCATGACGTTATATCGTAGAAGAGGCCGTTCCATAACTCAGGCGGTTAGTCGCTGGCTTCCCACCTCGGCGGCCCGGGTTCCAGCCCAGGTCAGGTCATGTGGGATTTGTTGTGGACAAAGTGACACTGGGCAAGTTTTCTCAGAGTACTTCGGCTTCCCCTGCCAATTCTCATTCCACCGACTGGCCCACGTTCGTCATTATCTATCATCCGGGGCTGGTACAGTAGGCCAATTAGTGGTCCAGGTCAGGTCATGTGGGATTTCTAGCGGACAAACTGACACTGGAGCAAGTTTTCTCCGAGAACTTCGGTTTCCCCTGACAGTTCTCATTCTAACGACTGCTCCACACCGATCATCTATCATCGGAGGCTGATACAATAGGCCAATTAGTGACCGACATACCAAGTAGACTTAGTCTCACCCCGCCTCAAGAAACAAAAAAAAAAAAAACTATATCACAGAAGACAGAACTCTTTCTGTAGTGTATCCGTCGTTCTTGCCCGTTTTAACTAGAACTTTAAAGTGCTCACANCCCCCCCCCAGTATCACTATCTGTCTATGGCTCTGCAGCCCTTTTTTGGACGTTGGCCGCTTTTTCAGTTTCTTCATCTGTACACAGTCAGTAGGACATCTTGGACGGGGGATCATCCCGTCGCAAGGCCGCTACCTACACACAGAACAACACAAACACAAAATACACACACACATGCATCCATGCCTTGAGTGGGATTAGGACCCACGATCCCAGTGTTCCAGCAGGCGAACATGCCTTAGACTGCGCGGCCACTGTGATTGGCCTCCAGTATTACATTGCATGAAAATTCGTTGAGCGGTTGTCTACTTCCGTGGTCACAGAGAGGGGGGCGGACGGACCTATCTGAAGAAGCACACCACAAGGATGCGAACGCACGTGAAATAAGAAGACGTTAGACCTCATCTTGATATTCAAGAAAGTACAGCCGTGAGGGACAGATTTTACATTAAAATTCATGGACCGTATTGAATACGGGCATAAAGAGTCGGACCATGCTGTAGTGTAATATGTTACGTCATGGGAGATGTGCTGGGGGCAAGTGCAATTTCATCCTCCGATTTGGTATGCTTGCTGGGTCCATCTACGCATGGTTCATTTATGATCATGAACGGTCTGCCTGGCGCTCCGGCATTCGTTTTGAGATGCGTGGATTGAAAGTAGCGGATAGCAATAATACGTGCAGGCCGTATCGTGTATAACGAAGCGGAAATATTGCCAGACGGCATAATTAATGCAGAGCGTAGTCAGGTGATGAGATTCGTGGAAACCCGGCTGGAATATTATTTGGTGCTTCTTGTGGTAACGACTAAGAGAAGACAGTTCCAATAACAGGAGCCAGAATAGCGTAGTCGGTATAGCAACAGACTGCGGGCTGGAGGACCGAGGGGTCGAGACCCGGTAAGGGCAAGAATTTTCTGTTCTCCAGACCGGTTCTGGGCCCCACCCAGCCTCCTATCCAGTGGGTACCGGGAGCTATTTCCCCGGGGATTACGTGTCCGGGGCGTGAAGCTGACCACTCACCTACAACTAGTGCCGAAGTCAAGAAAACGTTGATCTATACCTCCACTCCCCCATACGCCTTCATTGAGTAGTGCTTAATTACTTAAGTACATGAACAACTCTACCTTTCACCTTTACTTTCAGTAACTCAAATTATATAGCGTTGAATTGTACAATGATAGTGGGCATTTGTTTGGAACGGATGTGATTCGAAGCAGTTGTGGCGTATTTTGAGGGACTGTCCGAGTACTTGCTTGGAGGCATTGCATAAAATCACGAAAACTTCGGTCTCTGGCCTCAGATTTTGAGCAGGTCGAAGCAGGAGACCAAACCACTCAACCTTGGTTGCTTACGAGGTTTGAAGCTCGTTTGGCCTTGAATATTAGAATTAAGATCTTCCGGGATTTGACTCCATGTTGTGCGAACTTTTCGGAGGAACCCGATGCCACTCTCTTCAGTGTAGAAGAGTAGGCCCCGGGGACAGGGGAGACCGTGAATGGGGCTCCGAGTGACCAGTGGTGACACAGTGGTCCGAAAGGGCTGTTCACAGAGGGTGTCAAGATGGAAAAGTGGAAGAAAAAAAGAAACGTGGAAGGAAAAGCGGTAAAGGGGAGAAATGAATACAATATAGGAATGAATGGTGGAAGGAAGTACAGAAAAGTGACAGGAAAACAGTTGTGCTGGAAAAATCTGTTTTTAAAGGGCAGAGTCAGGGTGGAAGAATTAAGGAGCACAGGAGGAAGGAAAGCAGGTGGCTAAAAGAGGAATAAGAAAATGTATATAAAATAAATGAGAGGAAGGGATGTAGGTAGAAGGAAGTAAGGAAACAACAGAGTAGTAGGAATGAAAAGAGAAGAAAGAGGAAAAGAGGAGCTGGACCTGGGGGCCAGGTTGGAGAACCGAGTCAAGGCGTCGTGTGTTCCTTTGTGGGGTAGCCTGAGATATTCTGATGACTTCATATTTATGTTTTTGGTATATTATTTGTTCACAGACCTCCAGGGGACGCGTGGGGACGGGTTGCAACTCTGGTAAACCTTCTTGAGAAGTTGGAATATCAGAAGACTCTTCTGGTTACAGGTCCCAGAGAAGGTCAGTATTTGCCTGAGTAATTTACTATGAATATTTAAATGTTCTGTTTCAGCCATGAAGTTTTTGTGTATTTCCACTTGAGTATTTTCCTCGGCAAGATCTCATGAAAGTTGCAACTTGAAAAGCGGTAGAAATTTTTTACATTTTCCTGTGGCATATTGAACATTGAAGTTTACAGTAATAAGCGTAGTGTGTATACCCCAATACATTTTATAAGCAAGGGTTTCAGATTTAATGTGATTAATTTAATTTAAAAATTTTTGATTAAAATATTTGTTATGCAAAGCAAACGGAAAAATTATGCCTTCAGAACACATTTTAGTTGAATGCTGATCTGTATTCAACACATTGTTAAGGTAATTTGTTCTGTTTATGGAGACTAGGTTATGTTCCACTAAGTTTAGATAAAAAGCACTTCCTGTATTCTGAGTATTTTCACACCTTTATACTTCACTGTCTTACAGACCATTACTTCTCAGATTTTTAATGGAACGTAGGGTGTGAATATTGAATACTGTGTTCACATTCATCCTCTACAAACTTGCGTTTAAAGCAGTTTCACACTATTTTTACTGATCACTTTAGAGTTTTAAGGATAGAAGAATAATGTTTTTTTAAAAAGTTTTATTTCTGTATTAATATTTTGCATATTTAATTCTTTGTATCAATTTTGATTTTTGCAAGAATCCAGGTGGGACAGATGCTCTCCCCCACCTACTGGCGCCCATGTTCACACTTATCCATTGAACTTCAGTATCAAAAAAACAAGGAGGGTGGGCAGACTATCACTTTCACTTTCTTCACAATCCTGTGTTAAAACTAAACTACTGAAGTGATCTAGTAGCTAGTGTCCTCTGCTGGGCATATTAGAAGCCTGTGATCATGTTAATGTAAATATATTTCTTAGTTTCATGCTTCTGACATGACTATGTGTATGTAATGGTAACCATAAAGCTAGTAGAAATGATCTCAGTTGCTACCCACTTTAATTTTTTCAGATGTCAGCCATCTTGCTGTTATATTTTCCTAGTGCCTGAAATCGTAATTAGAGTATATATTAACAACATGCAGTATATTAGTTTTATTGAGCTTAAGGTAACATTCGTGTTCATTTTTACCTATAGAACAACACTTTTGTTCACAGATTATGAACTCGTTAGACTGCCAGAAGATGCAACATTATGTGGCTTCACTCCACTGATGTACAATGACCAGGAACCGATCTATACAAGCAAAGAGACTGATATGGTAAGTTTTCTTCCATATGTTTTTATTATTGACAGACATAATGTGGTATATGGATAGAAGTAAAAGTAAAGGTGTCCTTAATTAAGCACCATGCCATGAATACATGTGACCTGAGCACTAGGTAGAGGTGAGTGATCAGCTTCATGCCCTGGCTACTTCACCCCTGGGGAAAGAACCTCCTGGTACCCATTGTATAGGAAGCTGTATAGGCCATAGAGGTGGTCGGGACTCTGTGCAGAAGGGAAAAATCTCTTTCTTCTACCTGTAGCCCATTGCTGTAGTGATTAAGCTAGAATGCTGTATGCTGTATTGTTATTTGGATGTTGAAGAATATGGCTAGAGTTCCTTTGAAAGTAATGTTCCCTTTGTTACAGCTCTTCTTAGAATGTCTGTCAATAGACATGCTGACTAAAATTAAAATAGAATATTTGGTTGGGACTCTTAAAGAATAATTGATTTATTGAGCAGGTTTATTAATTAATTCATGAATCATTGAGGTTACTTCTGTGTCAGAGAGCAGACAAACTGAGATTAATATTCTACTCAGTAGTACACAATATGCCCCCATGTTGTGGATGTCTGAGTGATTATTTTCACTCTTTGAAATATTATAAAACATGACTATAATTCTTTTAAAGAAATAGTTGTTTTTAAGAAGCTGATGCAGACTGCATTGGTGCACAGATGCAGGCTGTACAACTGGTGACTGGCTAGCGTGTGTGTGCATTAGTGACATAGAGAAATAGCTGGTAGCATACTTGTTCCCATATTGTTTTAGATTGTGCAATGTGAACCCTCATTTAGTAAATTTTTTCAGATTTGTTTTCATGTATGTAATATTATTTGCGGTAGGTAAAAATGTGTGTTTTTATTATGACTGTGGATTGAATGAACTTCCATAGGAATGCATCTCCACTAGCAACACGAGTCTATGGAAGAATAGGGTTTGTGTTTCATAATTTCATGATACAGATACATGCTATATCTGGCATCGTGTGCTTCGGTGGGAAAGCCCGAAGGAAATAAACCACCAAGAAGACATGGAAATAGATGAGAGGAAGATATTAAGATGGATCTTATAGTCCATTCGTGGAGACGAGACAGCGTAAACAAAGCATGCCCCGAGTCGCCACAGCTGACAGCAAGGAGTGGACAAAGCGCGCAGTTACTCAGTGTACTCACTGAATTCGGACACACATTAACCTACATTCAGACTGAAGAGTGAACTTTGGATGCCCCTGCAATGATACACGCATCACGTAATCGCTGCATGTTTTCATTCAAAGGGCCAAGGAGATACCGCGTGCATTTGTTTATGAGTACTCTCTCGTCTCCGTGAATGGACTGTAGATATATGATTGGTTGTTATGGACTTGATTGATCTCGCTCAGCATAGGGACCGGTGGAGGGCTCTTGTGAGGTTCCATAAGGTAAAGGTAAAGTTGTCCCTGTGCTTAACTAATTAAGCACTGTGCCATGAAGGCATATGGGGGAGTGCATATATAGGTTCCTATTTTCTTGACCTTGACACTAGTTGGAGGGGAGTGGTGAGCTTCACACCCCTGCCTCTTTACCCCCAGGGATAGAGCCCCCTGTACCCACTGGATAGGAGGCTGGGTGGACCCCAGAGCCAGTCTGTACTGTGTGAGAAGAGAAAATTCTTGACTCTACCAAGACTTGAACCCCGACCCCTGAGTTGTTCAGCCTGTAGCCTGTCACAATACTGACTGAACTATCCGGGTTCGTCAGCTTCCATAAAATTCTTGTGTGGATGAGAGACTGGTGGCACAACGTGGAGTTGAAACATTTAGTGTTCTCTCTCTTGTTTTCTGGAAGCAAGCTAAGCTTTTATAGTTTTGAGGTTATCACAGCAGTGATTGCCCAGATTAAGGTCTTCTGTTTTGTGACACCGTGTAATTCTGTGTTCTGATATGTCTTATATAGCTTTTGTTTTCCAGATTTAATAACGTGCCATTTGAGTAATGTGATTGTTCCATTGCTTTCTGTTTTCAGGAGCAGGCTTACGTTGTCTTAAGGATCCAAAAAATAGTTTTCTTTGGTACAGTTTTCCTGTGTGGGGTTGATCCACCTGTTCTGAAGTTACAGAAATTTGATAGTGGATTCAGTGAATATGTTTCTGTAGTACAGTCATGCAGTCAGGGTTCACTGTCTTCCCCACATGAGGAGGATCAGGTTTGTGCCTTTTATTATTACATACTCCTGGTGTCACTTATGGTCCTTATTCACCTTGTACTCACCGCTTATTGTGTGCTGAGAGAAGAACTGGAATGCAAAATTGCAGAATGTATTACATCCCTCTTGTTCAGACAGTCCCCCCCCCCCAATACTATTTTCTGCTCTGTGTACAGCACCAATATGTGTGTCAGATATCAAATATGTTGTGGCTGTTTTATCGCAAACATGGATTTCCTTGATTGGTGGTTTTCTCAGTGATAGCTATGCAGAGTTACAGTCTTTTAGGTTGTATTACAGTGTAGTTTGAAGAGAGCTTGATGTTTTGGCGGAACATGCAGCTCAGCTTGCCGCCTGCTTCCACCTGTTTCTTGCTTGACTTGTTCTTCGACTGTGAAGATGGAGGCGATATATTCCTCTGAAACATTGAGCTTTCTGCCAAGTACACATCATTACAACCCAGAAGAACATAACTCTACATGGAGGTTTTTAATTTTAATTTCAGAGTGATTCGGAATTAGTTGTGGAGAGCTTCAGTGAGGATGAAAATGAAGACAAAACCAGTGACAAGGAGGGCAAAGTGGAACCAGTGACATCTGTTTCCAACAATGAACTGGATTCTAGCACAGCTGTAGCACCAGTGGAGATACAGGATCTCCTGCACAGAAAGGAGGAACTGGAGAAAAAGCATCGTAAGCAAGAAAGGCATCGCCAACGAGTGCAGGTGGGGTGATGCCTCTTTATTAAGTTTATTATTATTATTATTATTATTATTATTATTATTATTATT